TATATATATATATATATATATATATATATATATATATAATCTTATTAAGAGAATTTTGACTCTTCTAAAATGAATAAAATTAAAATAAATAATTTTAGTCATCCATAAAAAAATTAATAATTAATATTTTAATACATTTATTGTTTGGTTTGTTATGTATGTCTACATAAACGTAAGATTAGTCTTTTTAACTTATGGTTAGAGATACTCTCGATGATAAAAAAAAATAATAATAAAAAATGGATGATTCATTTTAGGAAGAAAAAAAATGTATTTGTAAAATTCAAGCTAAATCATATATATGTGCATTGATGTACCAATAAAGAAATGGTAGGCATTTCTGAAATTGAAGTCAAACTAAGATGTAACTACATGGTATGCATTTCTAAAATTTAAGATAAACCAAACTTGTATATAGATGGAATTTAATCCAAGATCAGTAAGTTTGAAAATAAGCTTGATGGTTCTTGAAATCACGTAGTTTGGTCGAGCCTCCCTTAATGCAATGAGAAGCCAAAGGGCTCCAAATTAATACAAATTAAACACATCCTGTGTCCCTAAATTCTTTCAAATTTACAACTATTAACTCTCATGACATCCAAAATTTTCTTGACAACACCTTACTAATTTGAACCTAAAACATATATAGTAGGTTGCAATTGCAAGCAAAGAACTAACTAGCCTATACCCATTAAAAATTTCCAACTAAAAAGTCATATCCTTTTTATTTATTGGTTAAATACCTCTTTTCGTCCCTCATAATATTTTTTTGTTTCAATTTAGTCTCACTTTAATTTTTTGTCTCAATTTAGTCCCCAATAACTTAAATTATTGCAATTTGGGACTTCCGTCCAAATGATTTAAACGGAGTTAACTGTTGGCCACGTGGCATCCACGTGGATGCCACGTAGATGTGTACGTGGACGCCAAAATTTTTGAAAAAACTGGGAACCAGAACGGCCCGTTCTGAAACCAGAACGGGCTGTTCTAGTTTCAGAACGAGCTGTTTTGGTTCCCAAAATACCAAACACGGATGGTCACTGATTATAGTTTAGGGTTTAAGGTTTATAGTTTATGGTTGTGAATCGTGAAAGAAAAAAGACCGAAGGTACAAAAGATTTCAAATACTGAATTTGGTAATATTGTAAATGAAAATTGATAACTTCAATTGCTAAACAGTTGGGCTATATAGTGTATCATTAAGGACAATGCAGTGTATCAGTAAAGACAATGGTAACATGTTTTATTTCATTGTTAGTCAAACTGGAGTGAACCCCTTATTACCAAATTGACACTATACAGTCAAGGATGAAACAAAACGGTATTTTCCCTTGAAGTCATTGACGATGTACCCTAATAATAATAACATGTTCTTGAGGAGGTACAACCTGAATTTTTATGGTTTAGGGTTTCCCTTCAGCGTTACCCAGATGATTTCCTTTCTCAGTAATTTTTTTGAACTTTTTAGTATATGTTATGTTCTGGATTTTTGTTTTCAGTGTCTGAACTATGTTTCTATCGTTGAATTTATGATATGTTATGAATTTTTATTTTCAATTTTTGAATCACGTTGTGGCATTTTGGTCAACGGATGCATGGAGTTGGTTTTTTGGAACGGGCCAAAACGGCCCGTTCTAAAACCAGAACGGCCTGTTCTGGTTTCAGAACGGCCCGTTCTGATGCACTGATGGTTTCAGAATGGGTCGTTCTGGTTCCAGGTGTTTTCATGCCATTTGGCGTCCACGTACGCATTTACGTGGCGTCCACGTGGCATCAACGTGGTCAACAGTTAACCCCCTTTAAATCATTTGGACGGAAGTCTCAAATTGCAATGATTTTAATTATTGGGGACCAAATTGAAATAAAATATTAAAGTGGAACTAAATTGAAACAAAAAAATATTATGAGAGACAAAAAGAGGTATTTAACCTTATTTATTTATTTACATAAACCGATATGGCAAATGAAATTGTGAGTGTTAAATTTAAAATTTAAATGTACCTACAAATGGGAGGCAATTCTTGAGGGTCAAGAGGTTGAGGTGCCATGACACATTTGAGGGTGTCCCTCCAATTACAATACTTGGACTCATACAAATCAAAGTTGCTCCTATACTTCACCTTCTTAGTAATGTCCCTACTATAATACTCCACCTTCAACTCTAGCGCCAGCTCGTGAAACCCACGCGCCACCGCCACCATATCCTCCAACACCTTCTCCGGCACTCCGTGATTCACCACCTGGAAGAACCCCACCGCCTCCGCCGCCTGCCGGACTCCGGCCACCACGCTGGAGCGGTCGCCGGCGACGTCCCTGAGGTCGATCACCGGGATCCTGAACTGGGTCGGAGTCATTTCGCCGGAAATTGGCTCGTCGGCGGCGACCTCCTCTGGCGGCCGGAGGAAAATTTGCGGCACTTTGGTGATGCCGGCGTCGAGAAGACCTTTCACACCGGCCTTGGATTCGTCGAAGGCCTTCAGTTCTTGCAAACGGTCATGGTTTGGAGAACCTCCGGGGAGGGATTCTCCGGCACTGGCGACGGAGATATCCATTGATATTTTATGCTATGAGCTTGTTTGTTAGCTTTTGATTTTTTAGGTGGATAAGATAATAAATACTTCATTCACCACAAATTTTGGTAATTATTATTATCAAAACAAAATTAAAAATAGATCTGAACTTTTATATGTCACAAAAATTCACTTTTTTATACAACTAAAACTTAAGACTTATTGTACGTTATTTTAATTCTCAACGGTATTGAATTAAAATTTAGGTTTAAAAATGTTTTTATTTATTTATGATAAATTAATTTTTTAAATTTTTTAAATTTAAAATTATTTTTTTAGTCTAATTTTAAAAAATTTTATTTTAGTCTCTTAAGTCACTAATAACATATAAGAAAGTGAGAAATTAAAGTAGTTATAAAGTATTAACTGCGTTTAATGTTATGATTTTATTAACAGAAATACTAATATTTAAATTTTGTATAATAATATTTGATAAATTTTTTTCTAAAAAATTGAGTATAAAAATTAAAATAAGATTTTTTTCTATATTTTATAGGAATTAAAAAAAATTAATTTTAAATTTAAGGAACTAAAAATAAATTTATTTTAAATTTAAAAGACTAAAAACATATTTAAGTATAAAATTTATCAACTAATCTATTAATTACATTTTTTTTACATAAATAATTATTTGTATAATCTATTAATTATTTTTTTGTATTTTTTTTTATTTATTACTTCAAACTATTTAAAATATTTATAAATATTTTAACTACAATATATTAATTATAACTTTTTTTTATCTAGTATCTACGTAACTGCTATCTTACGATGAATTTATGAAATAACAACATTTTATTTAAATAAAATTTAATAAGAATATCTACCCAAACAACATAAATAATATAAAGTGAGTATTTTATACTTACTAATTATTTTCTAACAGTGCATACTTCTTACTAGTAGTATGATTATTAAAAAAATAAATATAAAAATTTTAAGATTATTTAACAAAATATTAAGTTATAATTTATTGAAATAAGACTTAATTATTCTTTTAGCCTTTTTAGTACGTATCATGAGCTTTACTTTTTTTTTAATCTTTATAATTAAAAACATTTTATTTCTTTTTTAAAAAAATATTTTTTGATAAAAAATGATTATCTATTTGTATTTATTTGTCTAATTTTTTTAAATACTTATATATATATATATATATATATATATATATATATTTTTT